GCATCTACTGAAGCTGATGGAACTGGGAGTGGTGGTGTGGGAGTTTTCCAGGCAAAACAATGAATTTAACTCAACGAACACAACAAATAACTCTACCATTCACAATACACCCAATAATGATGAGGGATCAACAACAACAACACTTCCTCCTGAACTCACAAACAACAAGAAGGGTGATGCAGACAGCAGCAGCAGTATCAGCAGTTCTGTGTGGGTGCGTGTGCCACTACTGATTGTGGTTACACTGGCCTGTATTCTTGTGTGCTGAATGTAATGGTAGTGGTGTGACTCAGGTCATCCTTTGTTTTCTTTTCTTTTTTGCATGCATCCCTACAGTCTAACTAATCTTCCACCTGTTGGGATTCTCTTCTTTTTTGTGCTTCTTAATGTTAATGTGTTTTGTGTGTTTTTGCTCTCTCTACGTGTTTATCCTATAATTATTATTATTGCTACTCCATTGTGTGTGTGTGTGTTCTTGGAGACTCTCTCTGTGGGTGTGCACCTGGGCTTGCACTGTGATAATAATGATGAACTGCTTTTTGTAGTGAGAACGAAAAGAAATAATAATAACTGATGAATTTATATTTATAATTGCGTATATATGTACACATATAAACTTACACCCGTAGTTGGTGTATATTTCTGTGTTTACTAAGTAAGTGGGGCACAATTATTTAATTATCTTTACTTGCTTGTGGTGTGGTGGATCGTTGTGTTCTTTCTTACCTTTGGTTATGGTGATTTGCTTTCTGCATATTGAGGAAATAAAAACATATAAACGTTTCTTTTTAGAATTGAACATGGAATTAAGCTTGCCCAACGTGTTGTTTGTTGTGTTTTTTTTTTTTTGGTGTTGGTATTGCACTTGATTTGTTTGTGTTTTCTTTTTATTTTCTTCTCTTTGGATTATGTGTGTGGTGTCTCTTTATTTTTACTCTTTACTATTTGTGCAGATTGTGCTCTCTTGTGTGACTTGATGTTTTCTTCTGTCGTCTTTCTCCGTATGCGCTTGAATGTTTCTGTTAATTTGGTTGTTTCTCTTCTCTTTGCTTTTCTATTCTGTGTTTTTTAGATACTCCAATCAAGAAGAAAAACTCTTGCAATAATGAACTTGCACCGGGTGTTCTGTTTGCGTGCCTTGTTCCTGAGTGTTCTTGTCTGTGTATGTGTATCAGCTTGGGCGGATCCTACTCCTCAAACACACTCTGGTGTACTTCGGGGCTCACACGATTCTCCTCCTCTCCCTCCTCCTGCTGTCGCTACGTTAACGGCTGCACAAAAGGCTCTTCCAGGCGCTGCTGCTATTCCGGGTAGTCCACTTGGTCCTGGTGCCATTCCTGGTGTTCCAGGTTCTCACCTTGTCGTTGGTAAAAGTGGTGCTGGTTCTCCTACTGCACCTTTGAGTCCTCCGCACGGTACTGGAGTTCCTCGTGTTGGTGTTGATCCCTCTATCAGTTCACAAGGTCACCCGGGTGCTGGTACTAAATATAAAACCTGTGATCCAGGTTCTCTTGTTGGTGACTCTAAAAGGACTGATAGTTTATGTGTTCCAAATATTACTGCTCCTTCGAAAACTCCTGGAGCTGACGGTGCTTCAGGTGGAGGTGTTGGTGCTGCTGAAAGTAGTCCACCTCATCCTCTCCCTGGGATTGTTCCTCACCCCCGCGAAAGCACAGCTACTCTTAATTTAACTCTTCGCTCTCACGTTGATACTCCTCGTAATGGTACACCAAGTGCCAATGGGAAGCCAGGAGTTGACATTCTCAGATTTAACCCTGATGCTCATAAAGCAACTCCTAAGGCTCCAGGGATTCAACCTGTTCCTGCTCCTGTGGATGATCCAAAGCGTGGTGATTCTCTTAATTTAACGCTTCAGAAACAACCCGCTGCTGGTGTTGTTGACCTACCAAGTGTTAAGGCGAGGCCTGATGTTCCTTCCGGACACCAACCTCGTGTTTCTGGCCCAGTTAATCTCGATGCTAAAGGATTTCCTGGTGTACCTGATGCTGTTCATAATGTTGGTGGTGCTCCTACTGTTGCTATTAATCGTGGTCCTGCTCGTCTTCCTCGTGAAGAGGTTTCCCAGAGTAATGAAGAAGTGTCTGGCCCTACGAACACGCAACCTGAAGAGAATAATAATCAGGCAGAGAATACTGCAGCACCTGCACAGAGTGAATCAATAACGAACACCCCGAAGACACCCACTAAGGTGACGCCGCCGGCAATGCCAACAATACTGCAACCTCCTATGCCTGCAAAGAGCGAGACCAAACCACCCAAGAAGCGTAAGGCAGACAGCAGCAGTATCAGTTCTGTGTGGATGCGTGTGCCACTAATGATTCTGGCTGTGTTGTTCTCCGCTACCGTGTACTGAACGGTGGGACTCACTTGAGAGCAAATAATAATAATGGTTAAACTAACATAATCATAATTGCGAATATACCCCATGGGTGAAAAAACTAATAATCTGTTTACTTGCTTTCTCTTTTAATTCGAATTTCTTTTTCTTTTACTTTTTTGTGTGTGTGTGTTCATTTTTCTAATAATTCCATTACTTGGTTTTCCCGTTGAATGTGTGTGCAGAAAACTGGGCTGTTCTGCTCACTGACGGTATGCATTTCTTGCTAGTACACACAGATGTGTGTGTGCAGTAATTTAATATACATAAACTAGAGCCATGGAGTATTGTGTGTGTTTGGCTCTCTCTCTCTCTCTTATTTGGGTATTGTGTGGTCTTCTCTTTTCTTTTCTATTAATGGATACATATTATTATCATACAAGCGGAATATTCCTTTTTGTTGGTTTACTGTGCTGTTGTTGCTTCTCTCTCTATTCCACTGTGAGTATTTGTTGTACTGTGAGTATTTGTGTTTGTTTCTATCTCAGTTCTTTCTTCCTTGTATTAGTCTATTGAAGTAATCAACAACAATGGCAAAGACTGTAATGGTGAGGTGTTACCTGTTCTGTTTACTAACTCTTGCACTGTGTAGTACTTGTGGGTTAGTATGGGCTGATAATCCTAAGACTTCTGAGTCCAGTAATTGTGTTAATTATGTTGGATTTCCTCCTTTTTTTGTTAAGATTGATTCTTGCGATGAGGCCCGTAATGCTACTAAGGCTGCAGAACCCACAATACAGCGTTCACCTGGTAAACCGGGTCCCGATACTCCTGGTGATCATAGTGGGAGAGAAGTTAACCAAGTCACTACGAATTCGCATCAAGAGGAACAAGTACCCGAAAGTGATCATGAAGAGAATACCGTTAATTCTGAAACTGATATAAGAAGAGGAAGTCAGAATGTTGAGCAAACCCTAAAAGGAGACGGTACCGCATCAAGTAATCCGGGGCAAAATAATCCTCTTAGTTCCCCTGAGTCTGCAGAAGGCCGGGATATACAAGTAACTGAAGAGCATCCCCTTCCAGCTTCTCCTGTTTCTGATAGACAACAGTCAGGTGAAGCCCCTTCTGTATCAACACAAGCAAATAGAGAGAACCCAACAGTCTCAGAATCTGCACCTAATGGTGGCGAGCATAGGAGTCCTCATGAGAACACACCGCCACTGCAAGAACAAGAAGTAGGAAGTGCAACCACTCGGGGTTCACAAGTGGCACCCAACACTGATGAGTCATACGGGACAGGGAACAAACAGTCAACAACGACCTCTGACACTAACACTACTCCCAATAGTGAGGGATCCACCAGCACCACCACCACAACAACAACAACACTTCCTCCTGAACTCACAAACAACAAGAAGAAGGGTGATGCAGACAGCAGCAGCAGTATCAGCAGTTCTGTGTGGGTGCGTGTGCCACTACTGATTGTGGTTACACTGGCCTGTATTCTTGTATGCTGATTGTAGTGGTGGTGGTGTGATGGTGTGACTCAGGTCATCCTTTGTTTTTTCTTTTTTTGCATACATCCCTACAGTCTAACTAATCTTGCACCTGTTGGGGATTTTCTTCTTTCTTTGTTTCTTAATGTTAATGTGTTTTGTGTGTGTTTTTGCTCTCTCGGTGTTTATCCTATAATTATTATTATTGCTACTCCATTGTGTGTGTGTGTTCTTGGAGACTCTCTCTCTGTGTGTGCTTGGGCTTGCACTGTAATAATGATGAACTGCTTTTTGCATTGAGAGTGAAAAGAAATAATAATAACAGATGGATTTATATTTATCATTGTGTATTTATACATATATAGACTTACACCCATATTTGGTGTATATTTCTGTGTTTACTGGGTAAATTAGGCTAATGGTTAATATCTGTTTTGTTTTTTTGCTTGATGATTTTGCTGAGTCGTTGTGTGTTTTGCCCTGTATCGTATGATGATTGGCTTTTTTTTTCGTATTCTTACTGGGTTTACTTTGCTGATATGTTTTCTGTAACTGGTTTGTGTTTTTTTTACATTGTTGTGTTTCTATGTTGTCACTGTGTTTGGATTGCATTTTTTATCTCTCATATTGTTTTTCTTTTATCTAGTCCATTGCTTTTAAGCGAAACCCACTATAGCTATTATGACTGTGAGGGAAATGATGCGCCACGTGGTGTGTTTACTGGTTCTTATGGTGTGCTGCGCCTATGGGTGTGTGTCTGCTACTCAACCATCTAATGAACCTCAAGCTGAACGTCATAAGAATATGAATGATCTTCAGCGTAGAGGTGAGATTGAGGCTAATTTGACACAAAAGGGGATTACACCTGGTGTTCGTGTGGCTGGTGCTGTAAATCAGGATTCTCATCCTAATCGTGCTGTTCTTCAAGCAGGGGCTTCTAGTGCAGAGCAGCACGGTCCCGGTACACCTGGTGTTGATGATGTTGAAGGTGCAAACAATTACAAAGTCCATCCTGGTGTTGGTGGTGTTCCTCCCGTTAATTCCGATGGTGTTACTCGTGCTACACAGGATCAATCTCAGGACAGTCGTGCTGGTAGTGCACATGTTGAAGCGGGTGGAAGAAAAGCTTTATCTACTCCTCATCCTTCTGGTATTGTCCCTGGTTTCAAGAATGAGGAAACCCCTGCTCCTGGTGAACGTTTACCTTTATGTCCCTCATTTTCTAACACGAGTGGCAATGTTATTGGTGGAGTACCTGGTAAGGACGGTGTTACTTGTGCTCCTGGCGTTCCTGGCTCTGTTTCTCCTCTTCCCAGTGGTCCGTCTCCAACGTCTGAAGAGGTCAATGGTAATCTAAGTATTATCGTCAACAACGTTACCCATCCTAATGGTACAGCACTTGAATCAGAGCTTAAACCTGCGCCTACAGGTGCTGGACTGAAACCTTATGTTCCACCCAATGCTTCTGACCCTCCTCATGGTTCTAAATTTCCCGGTGTTTCTGGTGCTGTTCCTATTGTTCATAATAAACCTGATACTCCTGAATATCCTGGTGTGCCTGCTGCTGCTCTTCATGTTGGTAATGGCAGCAGTGAAGCGGGTCGTGTTCGCTTTTCTCGTCCTGTTACTCAGGCCACGGATGCTGATTCCCACAGTACTACAGATTCCTCGGATACTGCAAGCCCTCAAAATGGAGAGAATAATAATCAGGCAGAGACTACTGCAGCATCTTCACAGAGTGAATCAATAAGGAACACCCCCAAGACACCCACTAAGGTGACGCCACCAGCAATACCAACAATACTGCAACCTCCTTTGCCTGCGAAGACCGACACCAAACCACCCAAGAAGAGTAAAGCAGACAGCAGCAGTATGAGTTCTGTGTGGGTACGTGTGACACTACTGATTATGGCTGTGTTGTTCTCCGCTACTGTGTACTGAACGGTGGGAATCATCAGAGGAGAAAGAAAAATAATGTTACACTAACATAATCATATTTGCGTACATCCAATGGGTGAATAAACTAATAATCTGTTTACCAGCTTTCTCTTTTAATTGGAATTTCTTTTCTTTTACTTTTTTTTTGTGTGTGTTTTTTTTCTAATAATTCCATTACTTGCTTTTCCCGTTGTGTGTATGCAGAAAACTGGGCTGTTCTGCTCACTGACGGTATACATTTCTTGCTAGAACACACAGATGTGTGTGTGCAGTAATTTAATATACAAACTAGAGCCATGGGGTATTGTGTGTGTTTGTTTGGCTCTCTCTCTCTCTCTTATTTGGGTATTGTGGGGTGTTCTCTTTTCTATTAAGGGTACATATTATTATTATACAAGCGGTCTATTCCTTTTTTCTTGCTTTACTGTGCTGTTACTGCTTCTCTCTCTCTCCCACTGTGAGTATTTGTTGTATTGGTGTATGTTTGTTTGTTTTTATCATAATTCTTTCTCTGCCTTCTCTCTTGTATTAGTCTATTGAAGTAAACAACAACAATGACAAAGGCTGTAATGGTGAGGTGTTACCCGCTCTGTTTATTAACTCTTGTACTCTGTTGTGTTTGTGGGTTAGTATGGGCTGATAATCCTAAAGCTTCTGATGGCCTTATTAAACCTTCTACTGTTGGTGTTCCTTCTCTTGTTCGCCGTGCTATTCCTGCGGATGATAGTGCTGGGCTTGAGTTTGTGCCTGAAGAGGAGGACGAAGAAGGAGGAGGAGAAGATGCTGATTCTCTGTCTCTTGGTGCTAAAGCTAAGGGTTCTCAGAGTTCAACAGAGGAAGTTCATGGTGCGAACTCACTGACATCAAGCGACAAAGAAATGACTGAACCAGTAGCCGAAACGGAGATTTCCGATGGTTCAATTAGGGATAACGAAAGAAAAAACGTTATCAGTCAACCTCAGTCTTTGCAAACGGAGAGAGCTGTACATGTCCAAAATGAAGAAAATGCACAAGATCCACGGTTAGGTGAATCATCTGGCCAATCTTTGAACGCTGAGGATGGTTTAGCGAAGGTTGATTCTATTATGCCTTCCACAACCCCTGCTCTAGTTTCTCAAGCGCAAGAGGAACATAGAAGGGACGACT